GAAGGCCTGGAGAGGGGCGAGGGTCCGAATCTCCGCGGGGAGTTCATTCCAAAGGGCCGGAGCTGCAACAGAGAAGGCCCTCCCCCGGGGGGTAGCCAGATGGCATTGGCTGGAAGACGGAACCCGGAGGAGGCCGACCCTGTGCGATCTAACGGGTCTGTGGGAGGTAATTGGCAGCAGGCGGTCTCTCAAGTACCCAGGTCCAATACCATATACAACTATATAAGAAGTGGCCAGCAAGACTCCAGATGACCACTATATGCCAGCAGAGAGTTTTCTGTATATGTATCTCTTTCCTTAATTTTCCAGCCGTGATTGGGTAGCCATTGTAAAGGAGCAAGAGGAAAAACAGGAAGGAGTGTTGGGATAAGGGAGTCAAGCTTTCCCCCATCAGCTGGTTCTCCACTAATTCTCAAATACCTTGGTTTTTCATTTAAAAGCTTAAAATCATTCATTCTTCCCCTCTTGATGGTTCCCTCTAGCAGGTTTTTTTTTCCCAGTAAGGCCAAAGAATTTGAAAGAACACAATAAATTTTGTAAACAAAAATGGTGACAGTTCACAAAGATTACTAGGTACAAATAAAAATGCACATTATTTCGATAGCAAGGGAGATAAAGCAGGAATGATGAAACTGATTATTTAAAGAGGAAAACGTGTTCATATTTGGATATCACTTCTGGAACCTCTGCTTGTGAAGAAAAACAAATGAAACTTTGATCTTGGTTTTTGTTGATTAGAAAGATTTGGTGGTTAGTTACACATTAATATGTAGAAGCAAAAAGTTGTGGTTGGAGTGTGTTTACCTTGAACTGTACTAGGAAGAGTTAGAAGTCAATGACTTTTTTTTTTTCTCTTCTCCCTTATATTTCACACCCCCTTTTCCCTGTTCCCTTTCCCTCCTTTGATTTCCTATTTTCTTTACTTCTTTTTGTATTTTATATAATAAAATACAAAATGATAAATGCGGTTTGTATACATACAATTACCTCTTCATGGAGACCATGTACAGGTAGTCCTTGAATATTAGACCCAAAATGGAACCTGCATAGTACAGTTGGAGTCAGGAGGGCTACTCTTCCTGATGCATTTGTTAAATGAACACACGTTAAACCAACACACAGGTTGTTAAGTGGAGCAAGGATGGGGGAGAGCCTGGAGGGGGAGGGGGCTGGTGTAGGCACAAGTCAGAGGTGGGTTCCTATTAATTCGCACCTATTCGGTAGAACCGGTTCGTCAAATCTACCGAACCGGTTAGAAGAGGTTCCCCCAGTTGATCACACCTACAGAAGAGGTTCCAAACTTTTTTGAAACCCACCACTGGCACAAGTCCACCTGCTTCAGATCGCCCAAGGCCTCACCCCACCCCCCCACAGTACCATGTTCTGTGGACAACAGTACCATGTTTATAAGACTGTAAACATGCCTAACATTTGTAGAACTGATATGAACAGAG